TTGTTTACAATTATGCATATTGGGTAGATTTATCTGATTATAGCTTTAGGGTTTCGCTTGTCAATTTTACTAACAATAGTAAAAAGAGTGCTATCTGTATAAGTAGCATTCTTTTTTTTTTGGAGGAAGTGTTGTAACACCTGGTATACCAGAGAACAAAAGTGCTTACTCCACGAAAGGCTAGAGCGGGATACGCGAGAGACCAGAGGGAGTCGGGCGTCGGGCGTCGGGCGTCGTAAAGGGAAGAGACCGGTTGAGTACGAGTAGCGTGAGAGACTAAAAATCATCTTTTTCTTGACTTTTGGCTAGGTAATTAAGGTATAGTAAATTTTATTAATTGGTGTTGACGTGAATTAAAATAAATAATTTAAACGGTATAATCGAATAGTGTATGTAAGTCCAAGGAAGGGTAAGACATATCAAAAATTCTCTCTAGGGTACCAGAGGTTACAACCTACTCCCAGGACCGAACGAAGAAGTAACGAAATTTTGTTTGTTTTATAGGAATTGTTTCTTTGTTGTCTATTTTGTTTGTTTCTTTCTGACAGCATAATTTATTAAAAGTATTATTTGATTAGCGGTGTTCTATCCCAAACTTTTAGAGCTACGACACCCACCTTCCGAAGAGCGACGATTTCCCCGGCAGACCACCAGCTGGGGTGGTGGCAGCTACCTCCTCTCGCAAAGAGGGTTTGAATAGAATACACCGCTCAGACACCAAATAGGGTGATCGTGACAATAAGAAATGCTTTTTTGACCCTAACTCCGGAAATGCTGCGAAATGTGTCAAGCAATTTTCGTCGTAGAATTGCTCAATGTCTATAGAAAAATGGCAGACATTTTGAGCGGTTACCTGTTAATTACTAATTTAACTAGGTCTTTATTACTTTTGTTAGAAATGCACGATGTTAATTTACTGTTTTGGAGACTGCATGCGTGTGTTCTTGTTGTCTTCTCATAATTTGTATTTGTTGTTCTTTCAAACCTCTCCTTCAGTTTTACAAAACACTTTGTACGAGGATATCTTTGTAAATCTGGATTATTAGTTTGGTAAATACGACTTGCCAATAAACAGTTACCATGAGTTTTACTAATTATTCTATTATTTATTTACTAATTCTTCTTTAGAGTAATTCATTTCACAATTATTACTGTCGCTTTTCTATTAAACCTTATGTGAATCGAAAATTTTCCAGATTATCCTTTGACAGGAGCCTACTACGTTATTTTACATATAAGCTATTTGTAAACTTCGCATTTTTTCATAGAAATGAGATTTCATGAAAAACTAATGAATTTTGGTATAGGAGCAGGTATAGCAAAGTTGTAGAGAATTTAATTCTGCATCTCATGGTATGAAAATATACAGGGCGTTGCATTTAAAAAAATCGAGATTTTTCAATTTTTCAATTGGCAATTTTGACATGATATTTTGGTCACCCTGTATAACGCAGGCCAGTTTTTGGAGCATGATTCGGAAGAGTCATCCTTACTAAACATCTGATAAAAAAATGGGCTTAGTAGCTATTAGTATAACCTGTCAGTATCAGAAAATGTAAACAACCAATATCGACTAGAAAAACCTTTCAAGCGAGATATCTCAAAAACTGTGAATATTTGAAAGAACTATTCTACACAAAGTACCCTTTATTTTTTATGTAGAATCCGAAAAAAATATAAAAAATGTGTGTTTCCATTTAAAAAACCAAAGTTGGTGTCTGTCCAGGAAAAGTGGAACACCCTGTATAGTTGAATATATTTTTAATTTGTACGATTACATTCCGAGAAACGTGGCAACACAGTAAAAAGAAAAATCCATATATTGCTCATTTTAACATAGATATTGGACTTTCCCGCACTAGTGGGACACGCTGTATAACACTATACTCGCCCTCGTGAAGGGATTCCTGATTCACTATTCCCAGTAACAGAATAACAATTGGTTGTACTTCTTCTTTATAAAGCCACCAGCACTATCACACGGCACTCTTTTAGTTTAACTGACTTGGAGGAACTTCGTCCTGAGATCATCAGGTATTTGTTGGATATTTCCAGAAAATACTTCCACAACAGAATATTATGCGAGTTGAAAATCCTAATCCTCATATGAGATGATTGAGAAAATCAACGATTTTCGAAACTCTTTTCCCACCGGTCATCAAATCTTATACACAACCGCCTAACGCCTAACCTCCTTTCTTCCCGCGAAAAAAAAAAACATGTGACAAAATGCGTCCAGCGGATATTCGTGACACACGGCGGTAGAAGCTTGATCTTAATCAATACTCCAAGAGAATTATACTTGGAAAAGATAGCACTAGACTGGGCGGTATCTGTTTATGTTTGGGTTAATCGTATATCCACGGAGATTTTTTGCTTTTTGGCTTTCAAATATCACTAGAAATGAAAATTTTTCTATGCGCATAAAAAAAACATGGGCTTAACTTTTGGCGGCGCAATATGTTTAAAAAAATTCGAAAAATGTTATATTTTTCTTCCTATTTAATTATGTATCTTTTCAAGAGTTGATTTTAGGCGAAAATGGAAGAGGAAAAAAATGTTTGTAATTAATTTTTTTACAAAACATGACTAGGTACAAATCGAATGAATTTTAGGGAATTTTTTTGGGTATTTAAATTGGGTATAGGACCTTTATACTTGGCTCAAGAAAACTTCATGTTATGTAGAATCTTCACACCAAATTTCATCAAAATTGGTTCGATAGATTTTACATAATAATTTTGCAATCCAGATTTTGAAAAAAAAATTGCAAATTGTTAAAATTTTGCACAGCAAAAACCAAGGCCTTTAGATACTTAAAAATATAATCACATATAGAAGGGCTCTCAAACTTTCAAACTTTTTTTTTTAAATTCGAATCCGTCAATTAGGAGAACTCTGGCGCTTGGTTAAATATGGTCGAATTTTTGTACTTATAAACAATTAGAATAATTTTGTGAATATTCAATCAAATCAAAATTTTTAAACCAGGTTTTAAAAGTTCTTGGAAAGACGCTTCTTTAAAAAAAAACAGATCGATTGGTCATTTAGTTACGTAGTTATTGCCGATCAAAGTTAACCAACGTCATTTACACTAAATGTACTGAGACATCCGGGCTAATTTTTCGAAAAATACCTTTGGTATTCCGTGTACTTACCAGGTCTAAGATTACAATACTTTTCTTCATTGGCAACCTACTTTTAATCGTGTTTAAAGTTATTTATGCAAGCGAGAAATTCAAGAAAATCGTACGGGCGGTGGTGGTGGGGGAAACAGAGAGCGCGGCCTCTTCGGCCTGCTCGAAATTGAATCGGCAAGTTCAAAACCGCGATGCGCTTAAAAATTTTTAATATCTCACCTTCTAGCGGTCCGATTTTGATGATTTTTTTTTAATTTTAGCGTATTTTCAAATGCCTATCGTTAATAATTATTGGTCTTTCAACAGTTCGATAAAATTATTTATCTTTAAACTTCCTTTACTTATCAACTTTATTTTTCTATTGTATCAAACATAAACTTATATACTGTTTATCAAAGATCAAAAACTTTATTTAAATATTCTGAAATTGTTTAAACAACAATTATTTTCAAAATATGACGAAAATTTGTAACATAATGAGTTAATTTCTCATTTACTTATATTTTAAACAATAAATAATATTTGAATTATACTTTAATCACAAAAAAAAATAATATTAAAAAAATAATCTTTCTTTCATTTCAATATATATTATTTCGTATTCGAAAAATACGACCTTGAAAAAAATAGATACACGTATATACCGTTAGGAAAAGAATCTCTACAACCTGTATATACAGTGTTATTTTTTTAAAACCTGACTGACATAGGCCAACTTTTTTATTTGAAGAAATAGACTAGTACTTCCAAATGCAAAGTTGTAGGGAATAACTTGATTAAGAAAAATTTACAAATAATTGTTTTCGTTTTAGTAGCTACTGCAGAAATGTGGCAACACTGGAAAGAAGTTTTTCTTATTTTTTTAAAAAGAAGCGTCTTTCCTAGAACTTTTAAAACCTGGTTTAAAAAATTTGATTTAATTGAATATTCACAAAGTTATTCTAATTGTTTATAAGTACAAAAATTCGACCAATGTTTAAACAAGCGCCAGAGCTCTTCTAATTGACAGATTCGAATTTTTACCATAAGTTTGAAAAATTGAGAGCCCTTCTATAAGTGATTAAATTTTCAAGTATCTAAGGGCCTTGGTTTTTGCTGTGCAAAATTTTGAAAATTTGCATTTTTTTTTCAAAATCTGGATTGCAAAATTATTATGCAAAATCTATCGAATCGATTTTGAGGAAATTTGGTGTGAAGATTCTACATAACATGAAGTTTTCTTGAGCCAAGCATGAAGGTCCTATACCCAATTTAAATACCTCAACAAATTCTCTAAAAAGTATTGTTTTTTAACTACATTTTTGCGATTTTTTCGATTTTTACCATAATAATCATGATTCATTCGATTTGTAACTAGTCATGTTTTGTAAAAAATTTAATAACAAACAATTTTTTTCCTCTTCCATTTTCGCCTAAAATGAACTCTTGAAAAGATACATAATTAAATAGGAAGAAAAATATGACATTTTTTTAATTTTTTTAACATATTGTGCCGCCAAAAGTTAAGCCCTCGTTTTTTTATGTGCATAGAAAAATTTTCATTTCTTTCATTCATTTCATTTTCATTTGAAAGCCAAAAATCCAAAAATCTCCGTGGATATACGATTCACCCAAATATGGCTTTTTGAAACAGATACAGTCTGGACTATACGTTAACTCAAACAGAGAACAGCAACCAATTTAACAAAGATAAAATTAAGTTATTGGATAAATAAGGTATCAATAAAATAATAATTTAACCAAAACATAGTACTGAAATAAGTTCTCACGTTACAATACAAGTATTTGAAGATTGATTGAATGGTTTATCTTCTGTTGAATTCTGAATCAGTTTTGTTTAAAGTATCTGCTACTGCTTACCTTTCCAAATATTAGAGCAAGAGATCCTGCCAAAAAAACGAGAAATGACTTCTCCTCCGCAAATGATTTAATATATATTCTTGAACGAGCTCCTCCAGGATGGAGCGAATTCGCAGTCACGCCGGTTCCCCTCAGTTTCGCTGCAAATTCATTTGCAGCAATTATGGCGCACAATTTAGAATTGGCGTAAAAGTTTGCCAGGAAAGAGCCTTCTTCGGACGGATTCAAATCTTCCAGTTTGAGTTTGGTTAAAAAAGCAGCTAGGGAACTAGTGAAAATGATTCGGCTTGGAGCAGATTTTTTTAATAAATCTGAAACAAAGATTTTCCGTGAAGTATGCATCGATATTGATTGAAATTCTATTCCACTCAGTAACTTTTTTCTTAAATTTCAACGAAAAATAAGTCAACCACGCCAAGTTGAAAAAAATACACTTTTAATAGTATATTACTTAACGAGCGGTAATGCAGGTCATAACTCACGCAGATGAAGTTTGCAGCAAGAGCCGCAGGCGAGTGCTGTAATTCATCAAGTGAGTTATGACCATTACCGCAAGTTGAATACTATACTTTATCTACGACTATAACAATAAATACTAAGATACAAGTATCGAGAAAGAACTTTATTCACAAATCTCAATAGTTATAACAATTAAATAAAAGTTTTAGGTGTAATTACTCATTTTGTTTATTAATGATATTAACTGTAAAGTTTGAACAACCAGTAAACTGAATATGTGGGACTGTATTATGCAAGTTTATTGTTTCTTTTTGTGTTTGTTGTATATATGTTGTAGATGTACTAACTGGTTGAGGCGTTATAGAACTGTATATTTTATTTGCAGTATCTTTCTTATTGTTTTCTGAATCATCAATGTACCCCTCAGCAACAGTAGTTGATCGCCAACCGCCATGGCGTTTCAGTGCCGTTATATCCCCTCCAGCATCTACTAATAAAGTTGCTGACGAGCGGCGAAAACAATGCCCGGTATATAAATTACCATCTGGTAATTTTAAAAATGTAGCAACGTCTTTCCCCATTGCTCCAAATTTATTAATGCCAATTCTTTGTTTGTGATATTTTCCATTTTGAAATTTAAAGAATAATATTGTTTGCGATATATCGGTAGGACGAAGATTTAAATATTTCTTAATTATAGTATAAAAATTTCCCATAACAGTGAATTTTCTGGCAATTTTTGTTTTTGTATTTGGTACACTGACCATAAAAATAGATCCATGATCTTCTAAATCTGTAAATTGCATAGAGTGCAATTCTGCTGCGCGACAAGCACCCATAATGCCCATTATTAAAGCAACCTAAAATAAATTATATTATTGACTAGATGATAAAAACGTTTGAATTTTTGTAAAAGCTATTACCTTTGTCGCCAGATATTTCTCATCAGGAGCTTCATTTATGAAATTATTAAGTTGTTCTGGCGTAAATGTTTTTGCCTTTTTAGCTATATGTTTCTCTGATTGACGTTTAAGAAACGCACGTAATTTTGAATAATTCTCTATATTAATTCCATTATTTATGTTGAGTGTGCTTCTTAGCATGGAGTAGAAAGTCCATAGAGACGATGCTTTATATTTATTGCTAAGTTCATTAAAATATGCCAAAAGCACATTTTCTGTAAACGAGTTAACGTTTTTATTGCTACACCAATCTTGAAAATTTTTATATACACCTTTATACTTGTTTTTTGATTTTTCTGGTAATAAATTCTGTATTGCATTATTAGCTACTTCTCTTATTTCTGGAGGTGTACATAATAACTCATCTTCGCTATCTAAATTCATCTTTTTTAGGACTATTATTAGAAATTGATTTGAAAACGTCAAAATTATTTTGTTAAAATATCAAATGACATTAGTCCCCTCAATGATAATAATTGACAGTTCCGCCTACTGAGAGGCGTTGGCAATTTAATAATTTTAAAATCTTTTAATTATTCATTCCTTTCCACTTGTTAAAAATTCTTTCCATTTTACACCAATGGAACGTATTTATCGGCTTAAAAATTTCCAAGAATTTACTGCGTACACTATTTACATACCGAATTATCATTGTAGAAGCCCAGCGTGAGTTATAATAACTCACTATAAAAACTCACGCTACTTGTTTATTGATACTATTAATTGCTCAAAAGCAGTTGAATAATTAATATATAAATTAATAGGAGTAGATAAATATTAATATTACTTCTTTAATTCTTCAACGTGTGTACAAAGACTTTTAAAAATCAAACTGATATTTCCCAGTTAAACCAGAGTGCAAATTTGTTTTCAATGAGAAATATGAATAAGCGAATTGCTAAAAATTAACTCGATGGTGAAGCTGATGTCCGTATGTATTCCATTAATATAACTCGGAAATCATTTTATGTCTTTAAATTTATGAGACCAGTATAATGTTCACCCATGTTTCGAATCCAATCATTGGGCTACATGTCGTTCAATTATATCTAGCCAGATCAGACAACTTCCAGAGTTGCTGTTGGGAGACGCCCCGACGTTATCGACATTGCCCTCTTAAAATCTATACCGTTAAATGCCCAAATATCCACCCAATACGAAGGGTCTTCCGCCCACAATCCAATATTTCTGGATCTGGGGCGAAGACAGAGATATGAAGGCACCTTCACGAGGAGGTTCACTGACTGGGAGCGTTTCCGAACAGTAATGCAAGGAAACATGGCGCTCCCAGTCATCGAAACCACCCATGATCTGGAGGCGGCAATCCTCTCCCTTGAGACTGACATTAAAAACGCCCTGACTCAGACTACGACGGAGACTATTGTCCCCCGACTGACAAACCCCCGGGGCACCCTCCCCGATGACATAAAAAACTTAATACGTGACAGACGACGTGCGAAACGGCTTGCCACCCGCACCCGCCTCCCCCGACACAGACATGACTTAAACGTACTTAACAGACGGGTGAAGGCGGCTCTGGATGAACTGGCCCAGGATAACTGGGCTAGGCACCTGGAGTCGCTGGATCCACAAGACAACAGCCTCTGGAAAACGCAGAGGGCCCTGCGACAGACCGCTCGCCGTAAAATTCCTCCAATCCACGGTAGTGTGGGGGTGGTTTACACGAACCAGGAAAAGGCCGAGGCTTTCGCCGATAGCCTGGAACTGCAGTGTAGACTGCCTCAGCTGCCCGACGAAGACGAGGAATTCGAGATAGTGGCTGAGCGCGCGGCCCGACGCGTCGACAGAGAGCCAGACAATGACATAATCCCCCCCGCAACACCTGACGAACTAAGACTGACAATACGCAGACTTAAAAACAGAAAAGCCCCCGGACCCGACAATATACATAACACGACACTTAAACGACTACCACACAAGGGCCTCATGGCCCTACTAAACATAACAAACGCGACACTCAGACTAAGACACTTCCCTACCCGCTGGAAAACAGCAAACATAATCCTTATCCCAAAACCCAACAAAGATCACACCATCCCATCCAACTACCGGCCCATTAGCCTGCTCCCGGCTATGAGCAAAGTGGTAGAAAAAATTATCCTAACCCGTCTAAGAACCCACTCCCAAGAACTGCAAGTCATTCCAGACGAGCAGTTCGCCTTCCGACCCAATCACTCCACTGAACTCCAAATCCTTCGCCTTACCGAGCACATCACGGCGGCCTTCAACAGGGGACAGTACACTGGTGCTGTCTTCCTGGACGTCGCAAAGGCCTTCGATACGGTTTGGCATGAAGGCCTACTGATGAAAATGCTCACCAACCAATATCCCATATCCTTTACCAAACTCATAAAATCCTACCTACACCACCGAAAATTCCGCATCCAAATCCAAGATTCCCTTTCCACCACCCGTCCCATGGAGGCCGGTGTCCCCCAGGGCACCGTCCTGTCCCCACACCTATACACCATTTACAACTCCGACATCCCACATCCCCCCAACACCAACATATACTTATACGCCGACGACCTGACAATCACATCCCAATCCGTAGATCCTAGATATTCCGTCTCCCTCCTCCAAAACTCCTTAGACCAACTTGAAACCTGGTGCAACAGGTGGAAAGTCAAAATTAATCCCAACAAAAGTTCGGCTATCCTTTTTACCAAACGAAAAATCCCACAAAACCTCGACAGACTGACACTATCCCAGGAACCTATCTCCTGGAATCGACAAACACGATACCTGGGCGTGACGATGGACCAGCGTCTCACGTGGAAACCGCACATCGTGGAGACGGTGGCGCGAGCGAAGACCACCAGGGCTAGGCTCTATCCCTTACTCAAAGGTGGAAACACCCTCAGTTTAAGGAATAAGCGAACGCTTATCAAGGTGGTACTTCAACCGCAGCTAACCTACGCCTCCACGGCGTGGGGTCACGCGGCAAAAAGCCACTTAAAGTCATTACAGGCTGTGGAAAACATAGCCCTCCGCACGGCCACCGACGCGCCCTGGTACGTAAGAAACACTGACATATTACGAGACTTACAATACACAAACGCTACACAGACAATAAGACAAAACGCGGAGAAACGATTTGACGTAGCCGCTAGACATGACAATCCCCTCCTCAGGCAAGCCGTTGACTACGTACCCGACGTGACCGACAAACACAAAAGACCTAGACACCAACTTTTTGACCCTGGGTGACCACCCCAATGACCCCCCCCCTGCCCGCTAACCTTTTCTGTTTCAGAGACAGCCAGGATCAAGAAACGAAGACAACGACACACACACACACACACACACACCCCCCATACCCTCCTTAACCCTCCCCTCCCGCGCTAGCCTAAGGGCCACCTTAGCAAAGCGCATCCCAGGCTGCATAGCCGCACTACCCTACCCAACCATACCACACATAAACATGACACTACCCCCGGGGTTTACACAGACGAGCCGGCGAAGCAAGAAGAGCGCCAGAAGAAAGGGCCCTAGCCGGCGGGGCCCAGCCAGGACAAAAGGAGGTCCCACAAAGCGCCTACACCGGCCGCATTTGCGGTCGGGGTAGACGACGGATGGGGCCCACCTACGAAGGCTGTCCAGGCCTACACGAGATGAGGCAGGATAAAGAGGGATAATCCCCCTCGATCCCAAATCATTGAGGCCAATTTCTAGCCATAGAATAATGGCGCGGCGCGGCGCTGTTGGGAGAAAAAATTGACAAAAAAAAATTCCCCAGTTTCGAATTTTTTCCAGAAAAGAATTGGAGCTAATATACAAAATCAACCTGCCTTACATAAACCTAAAATTTCATTTAGATTGCGTAACAGGTCGAGACGGATCCTAAGATCTACTAAATCCAAAGAGATAATATGTTAGAAACAGTACCGAAGATCCACTTCAGAACTTGACGGAATTTTCCCGAAGCAGATTCGAATGTCAACTGTGGTTTTTCGAACCAGGACAAGGTTCCTGGCCAGTAAGAAATGCGACACCGTATTCATAAGTATTTAATTATATAGGCCTAAATACATATTCTAATGTCATACATTGTTAATCAAATTTTTTAAATAAACAATTTATAATCAATAACGAAATTAGTAAAATTTGATGAGTTCACACTCACACCTAAATCTTCAATCTAGGATCTAAATCGTTCAGGATTAACTATAGTTGATATAACGATGCTCTTCAGCCAATCTTAAAGACAATGTAAAGACATAAAAAATGTCAAGCACAAAAAGTATCGAAAATAAAACAGATAAAAGATTACAGACAACAAAGGGAACGTGTACTACTCTGGCTCACACACCAAGCTCTAATATTAAGCTAGGAGAATGTAAAGAGATTGACCAGAGAGAGGCTACAATTAACGTCTAGTCCACGATGAGTATGGTGCGTTGTTGAAGGATTACGCACCTCGAATAATAGCTACTGAGAGATAGAGCAATAGAGTGAACGAAATGTGACAGTATCTGAACGATGAGTTTCATCACCATCAAATCAGATCACTTGAACGAAGAACTACTTCATATACGATCAGTTCAAAACTTGAACACACTCCAAATGAAGACTACATAAGAAAATATTCTTAAATTTGAACAAGGAATTACTCCATTTATGACTCTATTGTGGACAATTTTACATACCTAGAAGTAAATGAGTCAGCAAAAAGTGACTATAGTAATTCACTTGCATTGTCTTGTGCAGTCCATCCTCTGTATATTGCAGACCGCTTGTGCCCGTTCCAGCGTTGTTAATTAATATATCCAGTCTGGGTTCAGTCTCTATAATATTCTGAGCAAAAGCTCTTACAGATTTAAGTGATTGCAAATCTAGTATTTTCGAAACGATGTTTGGATTGTCTGTTTCCTTAATTATTGTGGATCTGGCATCAGAAGAATCGTCTTTATCTACTATTATAACTCTGCATCCTCTTGATGCTAATGAAAGGGCTGTTTGATATCCAATACCTAAAAATTTAACAAAAGAGAATAAATAACAACAACAATTATACCCAATGGACTTTTTCACTAGTCCCAACTACACTTTTAATTGTTAATGACTCAATTACACATCATTAGTTACAGTGGCGGTTTTACCATAAGAGCTGCGGAACTGCAAAACACATAAAATGTTATTTATTTAATCATATTAAATATCAACAAAATATTTAAAGAATCCAAATGTACTAGGAGCTTATATTATTATTTATTACGACGCGAGCTACGCTCCTTAATATATGCAACCTCATATACAAAATGTGTGCACAGCGAACAGTTAGATGCGTCCTTTGTTTTTATTGGCTAATCAGGATCGTGACGTCGTGATCCAGTACACTTTTATATGGGCTTTTGTGGCTGCAACAACGACAGCCACTGCTGCAGTAAATGCAGTAATATTTCGTACGTGGTATGTGGTGGTTCATTTCTGCGAGGGGCACGCGTGAATATTTTCGTTTAGGCGTCTACGGATATTATAGTTATTAAAATGAATAACTTTATTTGGTTCTCTGCCTTATGAGGATAAACTAAAAATAAAAGAATTAGGTGGGCCAACACCACAATTAAATATTGAAGTTAGGGGAACAAGCCGAAGTAAAAGTTATAAAAGACAATTTAACAATAATGTATACACAAAAGCAGAGTGGGTGTGCGGGTGTGATATAAAAAATACACTGTTTTGTTTTCCGTGCTTACTTTTCGGTGGGGATAAAGCATGGACAATATACAGTGTGGAAGATTTAAGTCATTTAAGTCATTAGGTAAAATTAACATAAGAAGTCAGTTAGATTCTGCATATTGGGATAATATACGGAAACACAATGAATAGGTACCGAAAAATCGTTATGTATTATCTAAAATCATAGATTGCAAAAAATTTTGCGGAGCTTTCGAATTAGCCCTTCGCGGACACGATGAGACAGAAAATTCGGACAACCCTTATGTGTTTCGTGGACTCATAAATTTTAGTGCAGATCTTGACGACATATTAAAAGAACATCTAGCCACATGGGTATGACCGGGATTTTCTGTGATTGTACAGGGAATTAGCTGTATGGTCCCGTATTTCGGATTTGCACGTATAACTCCCGGAATATAATATAATGTACATATATTTAAAAAAAGATAAAGAAAAAATCATAACACGGCGAGGAAAATTAAAATTCGTTGAATCGTTGGTAAACTTCACAAACGATTTTTTTGTTTTTAAACAATATTCAGTAATTTAATATAATATATTTAGTTTATTCCAATTTATTTATACCGTCAGTTGGTAATTCATGAATAGATATTTCAAAAATGTATCAATTTCAAAAATCGTTCATGTGAAAATCTGCATTTTTGTATAAATGGATTGTTCCTTGAAATTCAGAAGCGCCAGGAAAACGCGTGACCTTGAAAATTTTAAAATTTTTCGCCTGCGGCGCCATTTAGAGGCTCTCCGGGCACTTAATATCCCGGAATTCAATTGAACAAATGTAACAATCCTAAGCAGAACACATTCAATCAATGTTCACGCGCCGCCACTGATTAGTTATCATCTAAATTACATTTTATTTCTTGTAGTTTCTTATACAGGGTGATTCACAACTTATTAAAAAAAAGTTGGGAATAGATGCGGCATGAGAAATGGGGTCAATATCGTAAAAAAATTTATTTGTAAAATCCTTATAGTGTCCGAGAAAAAAATATTGAAGTTGTAGTACTTTCAAGCATTACATCGCTGGACAACTGTAGTCTCTAGCGTCATTAGCATTAGCCACGTGGCCTCAGCTACTCCGAATACTGAAATCCGATTTTACAATCATCGTTGCGATAAAGCTTACAATAGTTTTTTGGTAATTAGTGTCAAAACCGGCTTGCGTGTATAGCAACTCGGATTTGATGGATATCGTTTTAATTTATGGTGAAGCAAGACGACATTTGTATTATTATGAAGCATTTGTGTTACGATGAAACAAGACAGCATTTATGTTCGGAAAAATCTAAGACGTGGACAAAATTTTGAACAGTTGTAACATCAGGTACGTCAAATTATTTTATTAATTGAAACCACAAATTAATTTTATTAATTAATAATAACAATAGCGGCAAAAGCAATTGAATTTGCTGATATAAAAAAGGTGCCATAAATAGTAGAGGATCCGTACTAGAAACAACCTTCACCCATCTGTTTAATGGATGAAAAGTATGTTATATCAAATTTAATATATTAAAAAATATATCTCGAGTGAGTTGGCTAACAAATTCCCGGCCAGAGTATGATTAATTAAAAATTGAAAAATTACTTTTTATTAAATATTGCACTCATGAGTTTAACGAATAAATTTAATACCAACCGAAAGCATGAAGCCTGTAGAATATACAAACGTTGGGTTGTCTATTTTTCTCCTGGTGTAACTACTGGGTTGGCACTGTTGGCAGATGGCAGAATGGAGTGGTTAATAACCTAAAATATTGAGAACACGTGTTGCTACGTATCGTTGTTTATTGACAATACATTGTAATGAAAAATGGCTAAAAAGTGTTTTTTTTGTGACTCGGACGATTCATTGATTGATTTTAACGATGAAACTTTTAAAAATTATTCATTGAAGTTATCGTTTCGTAAAAAAAAAAGAATTTTAAATACAACGAAGTTGAGCTAGCTAAAGCATCACTCGATTTTGTTGGTTACCATATTACATGTTATAAAAAGGTGAGTGCTTTGGGAAATAAATACAATGAAGAATTTAAAATTTTTAGTACGGAGAATACAGTAAGTATAAAATATATGATTCTTCAAAATTATTATATAATAGTAAAGATTTCTTCTATATTTAATTTATAATGAAAGAATATAGAATTTTTTTAATTTTTTTTGCACCTATGGTTTTTTTAATTTTCCACATTTTTTATTTTTTTTTATAATTTTGACGATTATTTAAAACCAACAGGATTTATTAGGGACCGAACGCCATTGAAAATACGAAAGAAGACATTGTCGAAATGTCGGAAAATGATGACGAATGTACCGAATTCGAGGATCAAAATTTCAGTTCTGATGAATCTGATACGGAATAATAATTATTAATTGGAACTTTTTTCAATAATATAATTTTTTGTATTTAAATAAAATTGTAATAAAATTTTTGTACGTAATACAAGATCCTTAGAGTATGTTTTTTACCATTTCATTTTAATTTTTTGACTGTTAATGTTGTTCATTTTTATTTATTTTCCTGAAATAACAAAAAAATTTCAAAATAAGTAAGTCTAATGCCAAAAAGGCATATATCTTGCCTAGAAAGGTATGTAAGTTGATATTCTCTGACTGACGTCCCGCTGGTGTTTGAGTACCTCTGCGCCATTCATTCAGGTTTCTGATGGTAGATACACAATTTGAAACGCCATGTATATGGATGATCTTTTGAACATCCCGTATGTGAAAGTTAATCAAACTTGGACTTGGCAGATGGAAAAGTTGGCTTGACAAATCGAACTGCCAGCAAATCAAATCACACAAATTGTACATACAGCGTGCTCCGAAAGTCTGCCATGAAACTCCAGAAGGTGATTCTACGGATTAAAATAATCACGTGTTTCTAATTTTTATTCGGATAAAGGGTTGATTTTGCGACCCTTAGACGGCCTGCAAGTGAATGTGCTCATAGGATGTTAGTTACTACCTTATTATCATCACCTCATATAATTACCACGACGACTATTCATTGCCTTCAACTGTTTCTAAGTTTTATTCGGTTTAGGTGTACGTTTTGACACGCCTGCAGTTGAATGAGTTCTTAATACTTATACTTATAATAGTACCGTATTATATTTATCTCACATAATTACCAGGATAGCTATTCACTTTTTTAAGTTTTTTTATTCGTTTTCGATAGAAAGCTGGGATTTCCAACCCCGAAACGGTCTGCAAATGGTTGCTGTTTTAATATGTTTTCTGTGAATTTGTCACTTATATACTAGAGTGTTTATTATTTTGCTTTATTATTTCCGTTTAATATGTACGCCCATGGACGTTCGGGTGTTTTCGGTAAGTTGGCTGCTATTTATTAACTGCGAACTTCACACCGATCTAAAAACATAGGTACTTCTAACAATACCTACCAAATCGTAAAGTTAAATGACCGCGCCGCGCGCGCGCGCCATTATTCTATGGCTAGAAATTGGCCTCAATGATTTGGGATCGAGGGGGATTATCCCTCTTTATCCTGCCTCATCTCGTGTAGGCCTGGACAGCCTTCGTAGGTGGGCCCCATCCGTCGTCTACCCCGACCGCAAATGCGGCCGGTGTAGGCGCTTTGTGGGACCTCCTTTTGTCCTGGCTGGGCCCCGCCGGCTAGGGCCCTTTCTTCTGGCGCTCTTCTTGCTTCGCCGGCTCGTCTGTGTAAACCCCGGGGGTAGTGTCATGTTTATGTGTGGTATGGTTGGGTAGGGTAGTGCGGCTATGCAGCCTGGGATGCGCTTTGCTAAGGTGGCCCTTAGGCTAGCGCGGGAGGGGAGGGTTAAGGAGGGTATGGGGTGTGTGTGTGTGTGTGTGTGTGTCGTTGTCTTCGTTTCTTGATCCTGGCTGTCTCTGAAACAGAAAAGGTTAGCGGGCAGGGGGGGGGTCATTGGGGTGGTCACCCAGGGTCAAAAAGTTGGTGTCTAGGTCTTTTGTGTTTGTCGGTCACGTCGGGTACGTAGTCAACGGCTTGCCTGAGGAGGGGATTGTCATGTCTAGCGGCTACGTCAAATCGTTTCTCCGCGTTTTGTCTTATTGTCTGTGTAGCGTTTGTGTATTGTAAGTCTCGTAATATGTCAGTGTTTCTTACGTACCAGGGCGCGTCGGTGGCCGTGCGGAGGGCTATGTTTTCCACAGCCTGTAATGACTTTAAGTGGCTTTTTGCCGCGTGACCCCACGCCGTGGAGGCGTAGGTTAGCTGCGGTTGAAGTACCACCTTGATAAGCGTTCGCTTATTCCTTAAACT